CTTGGGCTTCTCTTCCATAAAAATGAGAAAAGGATGCATACTTGAGGGACCAGCAGATGGCACAATGGTTATGTCACTGAACTCCCACGTAGTCAACTTCGATTCAAGTCCTGGACCCGGCAGCTTAAAACTCATTCCAGGCGTATGTGTGTATGCGTGCCCAAAATCCCAAGAGGAGAATGGAAGAGAAGGGATTGTGGTGTAGCCATCCCCCTTTGGGGGGGGGGTGATTTATTGCTTTCTGTCGCTCTGGCAAGTGCACCCTCCCTCTCTCCCTCTAGCAAAAAGCTCTCAAAAAAAAAAAAAAAAAAGAATGCGTATTTGAGGCTTTGTCCTGAGGGTTAAGTGAGCTGATCTACATAGACAGTCTAGGCTGGTGCCCTGCTCTTATTATCTAGCCATCTGTCACCACCCCTTATCCCTCCCCAATGTCCTCCAAGCCCTTTCAGGCTGGACATGAAACCCATCTGCAACCCACAGCAGGTTCACCTCCATGGAGTGCCACCCTGGGTGCAAGGGTGCAATGGGCCAGGGACGAGGATGTTAACAGGCTTAGCGGGGAGGACCCGGGGAGGCAGAGAAGACGTGTATCTTGTACCATTCTTGACTGGAAAGGCAAGGGAGTCCTTGCTCTGGCTGGTGGGCTGAGGAGGATGAGTTGGACTCAGCCTGTTCTTTGGGAAGAAGCTCCCCAAGGGCACATGGCTTCAGACGGAGACCCTCTCCCAGCTTATTTGACTGAGTGTATACAGGGGGCTTGCCAAGTGCCCACGCTTCCCCTAGCACTGATAAACCAGGAAGAGAAGAGAGTAAAGGGGTAGCAGGGCACAAAGGCGCCAGGGGAGACCGTGACTGGGCGAGCAGGCAGGGGCAGGAGTCTGCCCATGCACCTGTTATATTTACCCTCAGACACACAAGTGTTAACCCTACTTCTACCCTTTGAGCCCTAAAGGGAGAGCTGCAGAGGGCCACCGTCACTCAATGTAAAGGCCATCAAAAAGTATACCCTGATTTTGGGAACCAGCAGTTAGCGTAATGGCTATGTCGCTGGACTCTCACGTAGTCAACCGTGGTTCGCGTCCCGGACCCGATGGCTTAAAACTCACGCTGGGCGCGTGTGCGTGCGTGCCCAAGATCCCGAGAGGAGAATGGAGGAGAAGGGATTGCGGCGTGACCATCCCCCCTGGGGGGTGATTTCTCACTTTCTGTCTCTATGTCTCTGTCTGTCCGGCGAGCACATTCGTCCTATAGCGAAAATCTCTCAAGGAAAAAAAAAAAAGTATACCCTGATTTCGGAATCGTCTCAACAACCCCCTCCCCAAACTATGCTCGAATACCTTCTGGGGTGGGATCTCATTGACTAGAAACTCAACTCTCCGCCTACCCCTGACTTATACTGGATCAAAAACAGTTTCTGCCTGCTGGTCCTGATGTTTCACCTTGGGACAGATGGGCCGGTCTAATCCTTCTGGCCTGTAACCACAGCCTGGGCCACTCTATTGGCCACCAGCTGTGATGCCCACTTCCCCTCCCCGCCAAACCAGCCTCCCCTTCTGCCCATCTGCCCACAGGAGGGGCTCTCAATCTGTTGAGGCCAATAGTCCCAAGTCCCCTGGCTCCTGTTTACAGGGGATTTGTCCCAGTTGAGAAGCAGAGGCAGCTGTGGTTGGGACAAAGGTGACTTTGCCAGGCCTTGAAGGGAAAGCCCCTCCCGTGGAATCCCAACTAGCCATGCTGGGCACCCAGCATCCACTTGCCTGCTCCTCACTGCTTTCGCTAGCGCCTCTGGGATTCTCAAGGTCATATGGCCAGAGCAAAGGAAAAACTGTCTCGACAGGCTGCCCACTCCCCCACCTCCAACTCCTCTGCCCTCCTGCTTTATCTACCCCCACAGCCTCCACTCCCAAAGCGTTTTCTCCCTTTTCTGGCTCGAGGCCTCCTCAGTCCTCCTGGGGAATAAGGTCAGAGGCTAAACCCCACGGCCTCTCTCCACCAGCTCCACCTGCCATGTTGAGATGCCAGGATTTGGTGTGCAGCTGGGCTTCCTTCTCCATGCTCCCTGGAGCTCTCACTCCCTGGAAAGCTGGGGCCTGTCCTGGATCTCAGTGCGGTAGCAAGAAAGCCAGACCCTGGTGGGCTTCATGGTGGGAGGCCTGCCAGAAGGATGGAAAAGTGGGGAAGATGCAACTGGTTCCAGCATGGGCCTTTCAGCTTGGGCCTTCTGAGCACCCCCAAAGCACCAATGGAGGAGGCCGGGAGGCCTGGGGGTGGTTCATCCAGCTGCCCAGCCTACGCTCTACCAGACACTGCCCCAGCCTCTGCCACCTGAAGTATTTTGATTCTATCCTTCACCCCTGCAAGACTAGGGGTGCCCAATGGCCTGAGGGGGGTCATATATATACCAAATGCCAGGCAAGTCATGCTTCTGGGGTGTGGGAATGGGACCCTGGGACGTGGAGCTAGAGGACCTGGGTTCTTGCTCAAGGCTGTCAGGTCAGCCCGGGGAAGGCCTTTACCTAGGGAAGAGACAGGGCTCCAGCCTCAGCTTAACCACTAGCCAACTGTGACTTTGGGCAAACCATTTTCCTTCTCTGAACCTCAGCTTTGAAAGCAGAGCCCTGAGGAAGCAAGAATGTCTCTTCTAGATCAGCCCAGGCCCTGCGGGATGGGGGCAGGGTGAGATCCCTGGCTGGGCCCTGCACTCGGTGCGGGGCCGTGGGGAGAAGGGCCGACCCGGAGCATCGCCAAGAGCCTGCCTTTGTGCTCCACGCGTCATGGGGCCTTCAGAGGTCACTTTTCTGTCCCGATTCTCAGTTTCCCCTTCAGAGAAATCAAAACCCACCTGCCCTCAGGCAGCCTGGGCCAAAGACCATCAGTTTAAGGGAGGGGTCAGCGCCAAATACAACCTTCCAGAAGCCAGCCCAGCTCGTGTCTTCCAGAGTTCTTGGAGCAAAGTCAGTGAGGAAGATGCCACTTCCTGGCTATGCACCAGGAGCCTGTGTCCACCCCAGAGGGGACCAGCCAGAGTCCACAGTGCCTCCTGCTCAGTCCGTGTCTCTCACTCTCTTTTTTTAAAGAATTATTTTATTTAACTTTATTTATTTATTTATTTTAATTTGACCAGAGAGAGAGACAGAGTGAGAGAGAGAGAGAAGAAAAGTGAGGAAGCAAGCCACTAAGTTCGGGACTTGAACTGGTCAGCCTTGGGGTAGTCCAGCACCCTTAACCACCATGCCACTTGCCAGCGCCCCCTACATGATTTTTTTTTTTTTTTTGGAGAGGTTTTTGCTATAGGGTGCATACGCTCGCCAGAAAGACAGAGAGAGACAGAGAGACAGAAAGCGAGAAATCAACCCTCAGGAGAGATGGCTATGCTGCAATCTCTTCTCCTCCATTCTCCTCCCAGGATCTTGGGCACACATGCACACGCCCCCGGCGTGAGTTTAAGCCACTGGGTCCAGGATTCCAACCATGGTCTACTACATGGGAATCCAGAGACATAGCTATTACGCCAACTGCTGGTCCCATGATTTTTGTTTTTTTAAGAAATCTTTTATTTCAGGACCAGCAGATGATGTAATGGTTATGTCACTGGACTTCCACATGGTTGACCATGGGTTTGAGTCCCAGACCAGGTGGCTTAAAACTCATGCCAGGTACATGTCCAAGATCCCAAGAGGAAAATGGAGGAGAAAGGATTGAGGCATGGTCATCGCCCCTATGGGGTGATTTCTTGCTTTCTGACTCTCTGTCTCTGTCTCTCCCATGAGCACATGTGCTCTACAGCAAAAATCTCTCTCAAAACAAAATAATTATTTTAATTTTATTCATTTTTTAAAATTTGGTCAGAGACAGAGAGGGAAAGTGAGAAAGCAAGCTGTCATGTCCAGGACTAGAACCACAGTCAACCATGTGGAAGTCTAGTGCCTTAACCAGTTTCCCTATATATTAGGTAGAGAAGCACCTTCCCTGCCATCCATACCTGGAAGGACTCAGGGACGTCAGGGGGCTGACATCCTCTTTACCCAGGTGGCTGTGAGATACCAGGACCTTCACTGGACGCTGCCCCCTGCCTTCTGGCCTCTTGCTTGGGTAGCAGCTATGGTCCTCGCAGGGATCAGGACTACCAACGTCAGGGCCTTCCTGGAATATTCCCGATCACTCGCCACTGTGAGGGTCTGTGGGTCACTGGCAAGCAGACAGAAATGAGAGAGAAATGCGGAGAAAAGCAGAAGCCAACCTACTTAAGCATTTCCTTACCATGAAACGTGTTGAAGGCTTTCTTTTCTGGTAAGTCTCCTAGAAAGGGTCGTGTTTGTGTGTGTGTGTGTGTGTGTGTGTGTGTGTGTGTCTGTGTGTGTGTGTGAGGGATGCAAACAGACATGAGAACAGTGAGGAAGAAAGGAAAATCCCAGTGTGGGTCTGGGACAGGGGCCCCTAGCCAGGGGGTTGCCTTTGGTCTTGAACTTCTGAGGGCTGATTCAGCATCACAAAACTAGGACACAGCAGAACAGAGACGGACGGGAGCAACCTGACTTTTCCGTCAGCCACCCTCCTCCGCGAAGTTGCATGAGGCAGACTCGGACCAGCTGTTACCTATTTTTTCTGAGTCCAGAGATGGATAGAGAGAGGTCTGTGTCGTTAGATGTGTCGAGAAGCAGGGAACAGAAGGGATGGCCCATCTGTCCACGGAGAGAATAGACAACAGCCACATAATGGTTAGCCTCGGGGGCACAGAGGGTTGTCCTCATCCCAGAAATAACCCAGGGCCCTCCCAGAAGTGGGTGTTTAGCCACACTATCCCACGGTGGGTAGTTCCCAGGAATTCTGGGAAGACCAAAGGATGGGATGCCTGCCGATAAGACTGGAGTAAGAATAACCTCCACCTCCAGGTGAGAACTCCAGGGTCCTCACAGTGTCAATGGCATTCCCAGGACCGCGGTAAAGCCTCAGCCGACCCCACTCTGCACCGCTGAAAAAAAAGCCACACTCAACGCATGTCCAGTGGAGATAGTCCGTTTATTGTCGCCGGTAGATTCAAGCAGTAAGACAAACTGCAGAAGAAACTCCGTCCGCTCCCAAAAGCAGATATACCCAAGCAGACGGTCACAGAGGACCGCCGAAGTTCCTCTCCCCTTCCAAACACGCCTTCCAGCCGCCACATAGCACATAAAGCCCAGAAAGTGCATAAGTATTGGGGTTTCCCCCTCCAGTGCACAAAGAACAGTAAGAACATTCCATAATTTGCCTTTGGTGAAGCAACTCAAAACATCGACAAGTGATTTCACCTCCCCCCCGCAGTGTAACGTGTGGGGTGAGCACGAGGTGTTTCGTATTTGTATATATCATATAGCTAAACCTACAGAGAGACTATGTACAATGCGTCAGCAAGCTGCGGTAAAAGAGGCACTGCCAGAGCCACAGGCTGTCTGTCCCTTAAGACATAAGCAAGAAGGAACATTTCCTTTGTCACCCGTTCCAATGGTACCAAGCCACTCCTATGGCTTGGGATTATCCTTTTGGACCTGGCCGGTATTTTTTTTCCATTGTCTGTCTGCTTAACCTCACCTTGGAAATATTTACCAGCCCAACTTTTCACAAGGAGACTTGCAGAGAGAAGTATGGGTCCCGCCAGCTTCTCCTTTACAGAAGTTGGGAATAACTGAGGTGAATCCATAGCTAGGAGGCAGATCGCTATTTCCAAAGCCAGTTCCAAGGCACCTCAAGGCATTTCAGTCCTGAAAAATTGTGCTTTGTTCTTATAAGCTAAATCCCATGGGTTAGCCAGCCCGGCTCTCTTTACAGTGGCCCTTAATTAGGAGGGAGAGACAGACTGAGGGTTCTGAGTGAGGGGGAGAGGCAGGGCAGCTGAGAAAGCTGGCAGGCCAAAACCAGCAGAGTGCTCATGCAGCCAGAGGTGGGACTCGAACCCCACAGTGCAGGAAGAGGAGCAGCAGGCTGCCATAGCCAGAAAGCAGGGTAGAAATGGCTGTTGTGGCAACATCTCACCAGTTTCCCACCTCTATACACAGGGCCCCACTTTGCCCCGAGCCTCATTGGCCCTGGAGGAGCAGCCCTGAGCCCTCTGAAGGAGGGTCTGAGAGGCTCGAGAAGAAAGTGCATACGAAGGCAGCACCTGGGCAGAGATGGCTCCTGACCCAGCCCCTCTGCTCCGGCCGCAAAGCCCACAGAGAGGCCTTTCCCCGGGCCCCCCTCTGTCAGGGCAGGGAAGGAAATGATCCCAGAAGAGGGTTTCTGGATGGAAGTTAGGATCTCTTAGAATGAACGGAGGGACTCTTGCAAATAATTGCCCTCGATGTTGTGAGTCCTTGGAAAAAAGAATGTCCCCAACATCAGCGCAGATCCCCTCTCAGCCTGGGAGAGGAGGGCACTTCCGAGGCAACCAGATACACGAATTCTGCAAGCCACAGACGTGTATGCCACCTGGCGTGCAGTGCCCACCACCCACCTCTCTGCTCCCAGCTGCTTGGCTTGAAAGACGGGCAGCGTCCACCTGCTCCAGGTTTAGCCCACCCCATTGGCAGTGTGTTGATTGGCAGTTAGGTACTCAGCCCGTGGTTTAGAATGTCCACATGGGCTGGACTCCCCTCGCTCTGGGATAAGCTGGCTGGCTGCCCATGGCCACTCTGAGCCCACTCTCCTGGCCTCTGCACCCCCATCCCTGCTGGATTTTCCCTCTTCCCTTCCTCCCTTCCAGGGCCCAGATTCTTCAATCTTTTCCTTCTTTCCTCAACTCTTGCCCTGGAAGCAGTGGCTACACAGGTGGAAATGATGCACCAAAAAATTAATCTTGGTCCCTACAGTGCTGACCTGGCAGTCCCCAACTCTCTTATGGCTTTGTGTGTGTCCCTGGCACAGGGCACGGTGCCTGGCACCTAGCAGATGCTCAAGAAATGAATGTTGAACTGAAGTGAATTAAGCTAAGTCTCCTATCTGCTATTGCTCTCTCCCAAAACTGGTGGGCAGAGGCAGGGATTGGTCCCTGAGACTGTCACAGTCCTGTCTCCACCCCCTTTTCCCTGGGCACCTAACTCCCTGAGCCGGGCCGTGGCTGACTTCCTGGGAAAGCTTGGAAGTGCTAGAGATTTCCACCAGGCAGGAAAGAGGGCGTGGCCAGCAGCTGTGCCCTCTCCTCTCCCCCCACCCCTCAACCCCACCCTGGGGGTCAGATGAACCCACCCCCTTCACCCCACCTCCCTCCTTTACCAGGCCCTGAGGCCCTTCCCGGCAGAAAAAACACGGCTCCATTTCAGACTAGAGATTGAGGAGCCAGAGGAGAGGGCAGGGCCCTTGGTGTCTGCTGGAACCTCAGCCCCCACCTGAAGGATGAGGCTACTTGATCTCTGAGTGCCTTCCAAGGCCACCTTCTGAGTCAGCAGTTTCTGTCCGGCTTTCTCCCTCTCTTGGAGCTTATGCAATTTCCTTTAAGTGTGATCCCGTTAAGTGTGATAAAATGGCAGTGAACATTGGCTCTGTGAGTCGTTGGGACAGGGGAACGGACAACTCAACTCCAGATGGGACAGGGCTGCCCAGGGGCTCGGAGGCTCCAAGGGCCCCACAGGCGTCCATCTGGCCTTCCTGCACCAACCCTCCAGCCAAAGCCAGTCGGAAAGCTACTGAGGGCCACTGGGCAAGTCTGCGCCGGGCCCTCAGTGAGCCGCCCTGCTCTGCAGGCCGCAGCCACGGCCTTGGCTCTGCGCCGGCTGCTCTGGGCCCAGGTCAGGTGGTTCCCCGGCTGGAGCAAGCATCTCTTTGTTACCGTGAACCTCACCCCTCAGTCACTCAGCTGCTGGTGGGGACCAGTGGTGGACATACCCCTGCCCTGTGTGGCCCCACGACACTCCCAAAGGATCAGTAGCCAATGGAGAACAAGGAGGCTCCTGTAGAACTAGCCCTCGAGGGAACCAGGACAGCCGCAGCGCCCTGGGCCAGTGCTCCAGTGAAGCTGTCCTCCAGCCCCAGCTTCCGTCCATGCCCTGGACATGCGCAGGCATCCCTTTACCATGCCCCACCCCAATTAGAGAGTCTCCTCATCATCCCCAGCCTGAGGAGGCTGCCCCGGGCTGGAAGCAGCTGAGGGGCTCCACAGTGCACACCCAGGCCTTCCTGCAGCAGCTCGGCCAGCACAAGACAGCCCCCCCTCCAGGTCCTCTTCAAAGCCACTGTAAGACCGAGCACTGGGCAGGCTGGACAGCTGGACTCGCCTCTGCCACTGCCCAGTCTCCCCCTTCTCTCTGGGACCCTCGCTGTGCCTCCTGCCTCCTCTCAGAGACCAGCAGCCTGGAGCCCTTCTCGCATCGCCCAGGGCCCGCATAGCCCAGATGCCATGGCAGGTTTCTCAGATGGAAGAGAGGTGGGTCACTCTTGGTTCAGGGGAGGGGACACGAAGAGAGGGGCTCAGGAAGCCCAGGTGGGCCCTGGGGTCCTGGTTCAAGAGAAGCACACCAAGAGAGGGCAGCAGGGTCACACGGCACAGGGCAGAGTGGGAGGAGACAAGACGCGGGGAGGGCTGAGGGCCGCCGCCCGTTACTTGGTGCCGTCCTCGGCGTTGCCTTCGCCATCCGTCTTGCCCTCCTCCTCGGTCTTCAGGTCATCCGTGCTCAGTTTCTGCTCTTTTTTCCTCCTCACGCACTTGACTACCATCAGCACCAAGATGACCACAGCCAGGAAGCCCCCCACGGAGGCACCCACGATCACCGCCACCGTGGAGTCCCGCTCGGGGGGCTCTGGAAAAGGAAGAGAAGCCGACCGCTGAGCACGGGGCAGTGCTCTCCTCCAGGGACAGGATTTTAGTCAAAGCCAATGGACCTCTAAGCACCTCCGCTCCCAAATCCCAAAAAGGCACCGAAAGGCCCTGAGGGGAGAGCAATTAGGAGCATGGACTTTGGGATCACACGGACCCAAGTTCGAGTCCTGATCACACCACGTGTGAATCGCGTGGCTTTGGATAACTCATCTTCCCTAACCTCGGGCTCTCCGTCTGTACAACCGGGATAGCATGTGGTTCCCCGAGGATGAGATGAGACAACGCGCACATGGGGTTAGCCCTCTGACTGAGACGCAGGGAGGTCCAATCAATGAAAGCCGCCATGGTTCTGATCAAGGCTGACCGTGATCATGGGACGACGTGCCCTCCTGTCCTCAGGGGCTGGGGGGAAGAGAACGACGCCTTTCCCCAGCATGAGCCATTGTGCCCGCTCTCTCCAAAGTGCCCTGCGCAGACCGTGTGTGGGAGAGCTTGGTGGGGACCGTGGAGACAGAGACGGTCGGGCCCCCCAGCGCCAGCACCCCGGCTCACCTTCCAGGAGGACCTGCAGCTGGATCTTGCCGTGGCCGCGGTGGCGGTCGGGCGGGTTCATGATGTAGCAGTTGTAGATGCCCTCGTCCTCCAGCTGCACATCCCTCAGCGTCACCGACACGTCGTACTTGCTGGGGTTCCCCGAGAACTCCACGCGGTCTCGGAACCGCTCCAGCTTCAGGTTAATGATTTTCATGCGGAACTGGAGGAACTGGGTGGGTGGGGAGAGGCGAGGGCCACGGGGTGAGCAAGGAGCTACGGAGACAGTGGGGACGCTCCCTCCACCAGAGCACCCTTGTGCCTTGGACAAAGGGCAGTCACCTCCAGAAGGACTGCCTCGCTGTGGCGACACACTCAGTCAAAGCCCTCTGGAGCAGACGGCCCACCCGGAGGCCCGTGGGGCCCTAGTTGGGTGCGAGGGTAAGCGATGGGCCTCATGCTGCAGGCCCCCTGCCTCCTCCCCGCCCTCGCCTCCTCGCTGCAGGGACTCACCATCTCCTCGGAGCAATTACTGCACTCCTGGTAGGTCCAGTTCAGGGAGAACTGCTTGTGGTTCACCGTGTAGCAGGAGTTGAAGGTGCAGAGCAGCCGGGCGTCAGAGCCGTTGAGGACATTGAGGGTGGTAGGTACCGTGACCTCCATGCTCCGCCCCGGTGGCACTGCAGACAAAGCCACAGGCTGTCAGGGCCAGGGAGGGGCAAGCCTCTGTCCCCAGTAGTGGTGTGTGTGTGTGTGGGGGGGGGGGGGGGGGGGGGGGGGGGGCCCTG